AGACGGCTTGCTGGAAACGTTTATTGGGTGGGTATGAAGAAGAAAATTTTGGAGTATATACGTGGATGTGATGTGTGTCAACGTCAAAAGTATGCTGCTACTGCACCAGGGGGATTGTTGCAGCCCCTTCCTATTCCTTCTCATATCTGGGAGGATATATCTCTAGATTTCATTACTGGGTTGCCCAAATCCAAAGGTTATGAAGCTATTTTGGTTGTTGTGGACAGGTTATCTAAATATGGGCACTTCATACTCCTCAAACATCCTTTCACCGCTAGGACAGTAGCTGAAATTTTTGTTAAGGAGGTGGTGCGTTTGCATGATTCCATCTTCTATTGTGAGTGATAGGGATCCTCTCTTTATTAGCAGTTTCTGGAAAGAACTTTTCAGATTACAGGGAACTAAACTCAACATGAGCTCTTCATACCATTCTAAAACAGATGGTCAAACGGAGGTTTTAAATAGGTGCCTTGAAAGCTATTTAAGATGTTTTACATCATAACAACCTAGAAATGGGTCTTTGTGGGTTCATTGGGCTGAATTTTGGTACAACACGTCCTTCCATACTGCTACTGCCTTTACTCCCTTTGAAATTGTTTATGGGAGACCACCCCCACGGATTATCAGATTTCTTCCGGGAGAGACTAAGGTACAAGCTGTTGCCCATGATCTTGCTGATAGAGATGAAGCTCTCGCTCAACTGAAATTTCATCTAGATAAGGCCCAGCGATTAATGAAACACTATGCTGACAAGAAGAGGAAGAATATATCATTTCAGGAGGGTGAATTTGTTTTTCTAAAGTTGCGTCCTCACAGGCAACAGTCAGTAGCTAAACGCATCAATCCCAAACTAGCTACTCGATTCTATGGGCCTTATAAAGTTTTGCAGAAGATAGGTGAAACTGCATATAAACTGCAATTGTCGGAGTCATCCAGAATTGACCCTGTTTTTCACGTCTCTCAACTAAAACGGGCTGTTGGGAATTATTCCTCTTCTTCCGAGTTACCTACTGGATTTGAGGTGGAATTAGAAGTGGCTGTTGAACCAGAGGAAGCATTAGCACAAAGGGAGATACTTAAGCACAATGCTCTTTGCAAGCAATGGCTGATTAAGTGGAAGCACTGTCTACCAGAAGATACAACGTGGGAGGATGAAGATGTTTTGCAGCAACAGTTTCCTAATTTCCAACTTGGGGACAAGTTTGTTCTCCTAGGAGGGGAGAATGTTAGGAATCCTGATATTCCTAATAATATTGTAAATGCTGTTGAACCAAACAAGGCAAAACATTGGTTGGTTTATTCTAGGAGAAAGAAATCTGTTAATAAAAGTAGTTAGAAGTTATTAGTTGTTTCTGTTCAACTGTTTCTGTTTAACTGTTCATGATCAACTATTAATAAGAGATGATAGAAGTGCTTTGGGGGAGGATAAGTTTTAGGAGGGTTGTTTTTGTAAATCTGGCAGAGAACCTTTCTCTGAGGAGCCTAGCTCTGGAACTTGCTTGTATTCTTGTATCTGTTCTGGAATTCAAGAAGATTTTCTTTCATTCTTTCTTCTTTATCTTGGCATTTTCCCTTAAAACCTATCACACTGTTTTCTATACAAACTTCTGAAAAAAGCAAATGAACAGAAAATCTTTTCTCAAACCAAACTATCCCTGAATAGTGATGTTAACAAATAACCGTAGGTGGATGGATTCTTTAATTCTTTTTATAGAACGGTTTGTCTACTAAATAAGGTGCACTGAGATGGTTGTTTGTCTTATTACTGCATCCATTACTCCTATTTTTAGGTTTCTCTCTGTCTCTTCTTAGAAGTTGATTTTTTTTTTTGGAAGCTGTGCTTTCTTGTTTGTCAGTATTGTATCTTCAATTTCTCGCTTTACTAGCAATTTTTGGTTTCCTCAACTTGGATGCATGACAAAATTCTCGCTTAATTTTACTTACTAATAATCATAATTTTTTCTCCTTTTTATTTTTCTAATTCTGCCTGAAGCCCAGAAATAAGTAGACCAGAAAATACAGGGCTTTCTGCTGCCTTAAATTTATTGGAGGAAGCAAAAAAGGAAGTAGACTCATATTCCAAAGGTGGACCCATTTCCTATGCAGATCTGATCAGCTATGCAGGTTATACTTTTTATCATCACCTAGTTGACGCTTAATAGTTATTAACAATACTTGTTTCACATGTATAAATAGGACTATTTCAATTAAAGTTATCTGTGATTCTGGTGGTAATGGTTGTGGAGATGTCTAATTTCCCTTAGTTTATGTACTCAATTATTTACAGCACAAAGTGCTGTGAAGGCTACATTTTTAGCTGCTGCCATTCGCAAATGTGGTGGAAATGAGGAGAAAGGGAATATCCTGTACAATGCATACGGATCAAATGGCCAGGTTTGCATATTCTTTACTCATAAAACGATTATAATATGCTCCACAGTATCTTTAAGGGGACAATCATCAAGTGTAGATTTGCTCAATGATATGTTTAATAGAATCATTACTTACTCGCAAACGCGTGCAATTTTTATTGTGGAACAGTGGGGTTTGTTTGATAGGCAATTTGGCAGGGCTGATGCTCAAGACCCTGATCCAGAGGGGAGAGTTCCAATATGGGAGAAAGCAAGTGTCCAGGAAATGAAAGACAAGTTTTCTGCCGTCGGATTTGGTCCTCGCCAGGTAATTCACACATTTCATTGCTATTTTTGCACAGAGGAGTAATTGTGATCTTTGTTTATATGCTTCTAGTGCAAATGACTGTATACTAACAAATTTGCTAGTTTCCTTTAGCCATTGTCAAATACCTTCAGTTTGCACTAGCAATAGTCTTTTTCAAATCATGTCCAGTTATCCTTGCATGTTAGAATTTCTTGCTTGTTCCCACCTTTTATTGAACACTTCATACATCCGTTTTTACTGTTATTATTATTTTTTTTCATACAACATTGCAGCCGACTTTGGAATGTCAAAATGTAGACCAGAGGGTAAAAATAAATTGAGAAAATAATCATGAAAAGGCATACCATAAAGTTAAAGTTGATATTACTGATTAATTTCCTTTTGTGATTGATCAGTTGGCTGTTTTGTCTGCGTTCTTGGGTCCTGATCAGACTGCAACAGAAACTTTATTGGCGAGTGATCCTGATGTTGCTCCATGGGTTCAGAAATACCAAAGGAGCCGTGAAACGGTCTCTCAGACAGATTATGAGGTAAGTCTATCCATGCATGGCTCTATCCATCGACAGAAATGAAGTTCCAGAACCTCTTTTGTTTGGTTTGAAAAACACTTGTTTTCTTTGGTTTCTTTACTTTTTTTTTTTTTCTTTTCTTTTCAGGTTGATTTGATAACGACTTTCACAAAACTGAGTACCTTGGGCCAACAAATCAACTATGAGGCATATACATATCCTCCCCCAAAGATCGACATTACCAAACTCAAATTGTGAAACATATAGTAGTACCATAAATTCTTTCTCCAGGACAAACTTTGAACTTCAAGTGTTGACTTTCTCTTGTTTTTAACTGGAAACTTTGACCTTCTACGTAATTATTCATGCACATCTGAGAGAAACAGTGTTCAAGAATGGACCAAATTGTTCCAACCCACTAAATTGAGTAGAAAAGCCAAAAATTTAAAGAAAAAAAAACTATTAACAAAAAATGGCATTGAAAAGAATATAATATTATGGTGTTGTATCTTTTGGGTTTTCTTGTTCAACGTTGAATTAAATTAGAAATACTAATATTAGTTTTCTAATTTTATCCCTAGAATAAATGTTAACCTTATCATGAACATATATTTGTATTCTTTGAAATACAAAATTGTCTTGTATTTTCTTAAAAGTATAATCTAATGTGAAACTATGAATACATTGTTATTTTTATGTTTTAAAAGTTCTCTAAAGAACTTATCAAAATCTATCGCAAATATAGAATGATTATTGTATAGGAAAAAAATGCACCCATGAAGAATCGTTAAACGTATTCATTAACGGATCTAGTTCAGTGGCTCCAAAATTCGGAATCATAGATCTGTTGTTTTCAAAGTGAACTGTCATTGAACCAGTGATTGACCTGATTCATGGTTTGATCACAACCGATAAATAAAATAATAATAATTAAAAATACATAAAAAAAATTATAACATTTAATTTTATAAAAAATAAACAAAATACTATTTCGGTCAGCGATAAAATATATAAATATTTCATACTAATAATTTAGTTAATAAAATTAATATTAAATGTTATAATATAGGGTCTAAATTTTATTAATATGATTTTCTAGTGACAATAATAAACTGATTTTGAGTAGAAAACTAATTGACAAATAGCTTCCGTGTTACAAAAGATTGAAGAAAAATTTAACCTTTTCAATAAATATGAAAATGACATTTGCATTTTCAATTCCACGTGAACCGATTTTCGATCAATTTATACAAGTTTTATGATTTTTGAACAATTTCCTCTTCTTTTACAAGTTGTTTTACACCTATAGATTATTTAAATTAAACACTATACCAATCTATTAGTTAAACTGACCAATCTAGTTGGATTTTCAAAATGTAGTTTTAAGAGAAAATTGGAGGAAGAAAGTTGAATGAAGAGAATAAAAGAAAATATCATATACACTTACATCTATCTGGGAAAAAGTAAAGAGAAATAAAAAAAAATGTGAAAAGCATTATTTTAACATATAGAAAAACAAACACGAGTTTTAGAAGAAAAAAAAAATTACTGATTTCACCCATCTACCTGTTGCCAAACGAATAAAAGGGGGGGATGAGGCCTACAGAACTGATAATCCAGTTAAAATTATAGCCTTTATCTCTGGACATTTTCACCAGAAGCGCTTCCTAAAAGTTGTATAACTCATGCTTATAGTTCAAACATGCATCCAAAATTTCTTATTAATTCCCCAAATGTATGGGAGTTTATGCCTAACAATTTCAAATATAATACTGCAAAACGAATTGAGCAGCCATTTCAAATATGCACCACCTACAGCGGGCCCGGGAATGTTCCATTTTCCCTTTGCTCATTCCATCTGTCAATCTGATGAATAAACAAAGTTGCCAAAACAGGCGGTTAGCACATATCCACATTTTCAAAAATAATAGCAGGAAAAAAGAAACTAACATTTTTGTGTGAAATGCTTAAGTAAGCGACTAGGAAAAAAAAATTAAAGGGCTATAAATTGTGTATTTGACCTGGTGGAAACTGCTATTGAAAATCAAAATACAAAATATTAACCATGATAACTTTGAACTGAGGACATGTAATTCACACTTAGTTCTAAATGTGAAACTTAGAGTATGCTTGTTTCACGGATAAAATGTACATTCCTCAGAATGTGATATTTCCATATTTGTTAAAGCTTTCAAAAATTATTCCTGGGTATTACAGATTCATAGGGAAGTTGTAACTTCCACTTTTATCATGTTTTTCTACATTTCTACCCCGATAAAGGTGGTTGGAAACTAATATGCCCATGATGTTTCTCCCACTACATTTATAGGGTTATCTTCCATGTGATTACTCCTTTTTTAAGAGCCAATATGGGTCCTCGCAAATGCCCAAACCACCTAAGTAAAGATTCTAATAGATGTTCTACAATAGACTCTTCAACACATTCATCTTTTGTCCTATCCTGTCAAGGATTTCCGCTCATCCAACGAAGAGTCATCTCTGGTACATTGAGTTTATTCTCTTTTTCATGCTTTACAAGTCAATCGAGTGTGGCTTTTCTATTCAATGAGGTGCTAATTATGGTAAACAACAAAAAATGGTTCTAATCATGAAGATCTTCATACGATGTACTTTGTCAGGAAACTGAAGCATGGTTTATCTGAAAAGGAATATTGCGCATCTCCTAGTTCTCAGAATGAATTTAACTGGTTAAGAAGCGACAAGAGTTAAAGGAGATGAAGGAATAATTACGTATGAAAGATGATATACTGATGAGATGAGCTGACAGAAATTAGTTTAACATCTAGAAATTAAAACTAAGGAGCCAAAGTATTATGCATCTATACAGGAAGATTGACCACAACTTGAGAACTTCCTCTGATCCCTGTATGCACAATAATGAGGAAACCCTCCTCTCCATAGTGCATCCTTACACATTTAATAACTAAAGCTGTTAGTCATTTTTCATAGAAATCAATATCTTTCAATACTATTTTCTACTTAGTAGATTATCGAATATCTCGAGAAGGGTGCTAAATTGTGGAATACCAGACGGAATTTCATGATAAAAAATTATATTACTGGTAAAAAATTAACTCCATTTCCATGCAAAAGAATACAATAAGACCATAAACAGATAGAATTTTATGTTAGAAAAAAAAAAAAGTCAGGAAATAAATCTTGTTGGACAAAAAGACTAGCGCTGAGCAGATAATCAACAATGTTCAATGGTAAAATACATACCCATTCACCAGGGCAAAGAGAACGATAATACTTAGCAAACTTGTCACATTCTGATGCCCCTTCACCCTTTGCAGCTACACATCTGCACAAGAGTTTGGTATATTAACATAAAGGAATAGTGTTTGAGAAATGTGGGCAATGAGCTCAGTAGAAATAAAAGCCAACCATGTATAACTCACCTATGATATTCAATGTATCGGGTAAAGCAATGCCTGGTTTGATTTGTAGTTGGGAAACGGAAATCTGCTGGAGCAGTTTCAAGCTGGAAAATAATAGCACATACATGAACAAATTGGATGAAGGAGTGTCAACCTTGCTTATCATGCACTCATGTAACAATTCTATTAAAGCGATTCAATTAAATGTCACCTTGATTTCAGGGGTCTCTTCAGCTGCATCTTCATTGCCAGAGTTATCTTCAACATTTCCACTACTTTGCTCTTCGGTGCTTTCTTCAGCAGGAGGAGGGGTGACTTCACTGCTTTCCTGAGCAACTGTAGGGGCAACAGGAGTTGTTTCTTCCACGATTTTCTCTACAACAGCTTCCACAGAAGCACCCTCCTTTGGGTCTTCAACGGGTTTTTCAACTACAGCTGTTTTCTCCTGCTTGTCACTCACATGATATTGCTGCAAGTCAAGAAAACATGTCACTGCCTTCATCTGACACACTATGAAAACAGAAAATCAACAATCAGAGCGTAAAAGAATACAGATTCGAGGCATAAATCAATGCACATTGAGCTGAGGAAATTGAGGGAAAATATAATCACTACCAAACGGGAAAGTTAGAAGCTAGCAACACGTCTAACCTCAGCAATTCTACCTATGGAGGTTCCAATGACCATGACATGGAATTCATGTAAATGATTTATCCCACAACAAATAATGATATCAAATTTATTATTTACTCATATACTGAAGGACTAAGCATACATTTATATAACTTGCAAAATCCCCAATGTCATGTTGTCTCTTGTGTCAATTATTTTTGCCATTATCATAATATGAGCCATATAAAATTAAAAATAAAAAATTTAAGTAAAATGGAATGCAAGATTGATGCCAACTTGGTTGATTCAAAATCCCAATTGCGGCAGAAAAAACTCATTCCAACAGCAATTGTGTTTGGGCTTCTTTTTTAATTCAAAATCATTCTGAGTATAGTTGATTTTGAGAGAATTGAAATATACTGTTTTTCAGTTGACAAAACTGATTCGGTATGAAAACACCCACTGAACAGATCTATAATTACAGTCCAAAAGTGATTTTACATTATCATCCAAACAAAAATGAATCCTTCTAAACTCATTTTAACTATTCCGAAACATAAATCAATATTTCAAATCTCAATTCAACCTCAATTCTACCAAAATCTAAAACAATAGACCCAAGAATAACGTTATTCGGCCAATATAGAGACCTAACTTGGTGCCCATGATACAGATCCGGATTACAGTTTGCAGTGAATATATCATTTAGAAAATGTAATGGATTACGTTAAGCTCAATTTTTACTCTTTAATAACATACACTAGAAAGCACTTTAAAAAACACTATTCTACCTAAGAAATAAAAAACAGTTGAAACCTAATCCAGATTTAATTCACGGTACTCCAGATTATGGGTAAACTAAATCAAGGCCTGATTTGTAAATCCGATGGATAAAAAAGGAGGAATCTGGAAGCGGAATTGAAAGGGGGGAAGAGATTGAAGAGATATGAAGAAAGAATACCTCGGCGAGAGATTGAGCGTTGTCGGCAGCAGTTTCCGCCATTGATGGTCACGAGGCGGCTACAACACAAGAGAGGATTCGAGTGCTGTAGGTCAAAACTCGGAGAGCTTAAGCGGTTTGAGTTGGTGTTTGTCTCCCTATTTTGCTATTTGTTTAAGATTTTGGGTTACAATATTCGGAAGAGTCAAGAAAAAAAAATTACTAAATTAAAAAAAATGCAATGAAATTGTAGAAAAGTTATACCTATATACCGTAAAAAAATATATATATATATATATATATATATATATATATATATATATATATATATATACATTGAAAAAAAAATCTAATTATTTTTTTATTAATCCAGTCACTTAATTTCTCACTATCTATAATATAACCCTGTAATATTTTTCATCAAGAATTCATTTCTTCCACTGAATTTTTTCATGCTCGTCGAAAATTAAAATTAAAACATTGAATCATAAATTTGTTATTATATATATATATATATATATATATATATATATATATATGAAAAAGTATTTTAGAAAAATTAATGTACTCATAAAAAATACAGAAAACTTATATTATTATAATATTAAAGCAAATAAAGATAAGTGAAAAAACATTCATGTAATCATTTGAGAATGAATTTTATATTGATTTTCGCAAAAAGGTATAATGTTATGTACATATTTTGCTAACAAATTTATAATTTGAATTATTCTAGAATCATGACAAAAAAAATATTTATATAAAGAAATATATTAGATTTGAAAAGACAAGTTGATGATATTCATGATCTAACATGTCAATAAATTTATATTAAATTGGTTTAAGATTTGTCTCAAATAAGATAACAATCAATTTTTATGTGTTTTGTTTTATCATGAGACACTAAACTTAATGTAATATATATTTCATTTTAGTTGTCGTAATATAATGTTGTAGGTTTAAAACAATAAACTTTTAATTGAGAAGATATATGAATAATTGTAACGAGAACATAATATTTCCCTTCCATGGACAAAATATTATATTTTATTTTTTTCGTTTTCTATTTTGCACGTGCCAACACAAGTCATCTAATCTGCATCACTAAAGCTAACTAAATGTATAGGAGTGTCCTTATTGAATTAAAGACATTTGTTTGAAGAACTTTTCAAGTATCTTAAGACTCTCTTTGCAACACCTAGATGAGACTTTGTAGGATGAGTCATAAATTAATTGAGTTGCATAAACAATGTCAAGACAAGTTGTGATGAGATAAATTAGACAAATAACGAAATATTTATAGGATAAATTATCATAAAAAAGATCACTAGAATAATCTTGACACAACCACAATGAACTATCCATAGGCGTTGAATAAGGTTTACAGCCCAACATTCTAAAATCAACGAGCAACTCAAGACAATATTTATGTTATGATACATATATGATAGTAGCAAAGTGATTTATTTCTAAGTCCCAAAAAGTGTTTCAATGCTCCTAAATCCTTAAATTGGAATTTTGCATGAAGAATATGTTTGATTTTGAACATTTCAACAATAAAGTTCCCATTTAAAACAATATTATTCACATGTATTAACAAAGTTATAAATTCATATCAATTGTGTTTGATAAATAAATTATTATATGAATGTGATTGTTTGTAACAGGATGAAATAAGTAGATAAATAAGTTTTTCATACCATTTGCGGTCAGATTGTTTAGGGCTATATAGAGATTTTTTTATCTTTGAGGAATTATCATATAAACCTCCTCAAACAAGTTACGATGGAGCAAAGCATTACTCTCGTCGAGTTGTTGAAGTTTCCATTTATTTGCAGAAGCAAGAGCAAGGATGACATGAATAGTAGCCATTTTTATAAAGGGAGAATGTTTCAAATAAATCAATTCCTTCCACTTAAGAGAAACTCTTTGCAACCAATTGCACTTTATATTGTTCCACACTTCCATCCGATTTTCTCTTTATTTTGTATACCCATTTACATCCTATGAGTTTAACACTAGCTAGACTATCAACAATTTCTTGTGTGTTATTGAGTTTTAAAGCCTTAATTTTCATCTTTCATGGTTTCAACCCAACAGGGACTCAAAACCTAAAGTTGCTTCCTAATAATTTTGAGGTTCAACCTCAAAGGATATTTTCATTATAAAGTGATGTTCAGACTTAGAGATGTTAGAATAAGACAAAACAAATTGAAGAGGATACAAGCATGTTGATGATGATTGATTTGGCTTCATCTCGATGCAATATATATATATATATATATATATATATATATATATATATATATATATATATTCTACAAGGTGAACATTGGGTTTGGTAGGTCAAGAGTAACGTATTGGAACAAAAAGAGTAGGTGTAGGAACATAGCTACGGTGCGAAGGAGTGTCGAGGGTGGAAGAAGGGGAACCAAGTATCGTAGATTAATGAAAACCTGATTGTAGAGGAGTTGTGATTGCAATGAAGGTGAAAAAGATGATGGTAAATGTCAATTTGGAGATGGGATAAAATTAGGTTGTTGGGTGTTGTAAGTAGGAATTAAAGTTTTAGGGATTGACGACTTACCCATTCAATGACTTTGGCACCGGACGTTCCCAAAATGGATAGTGTACTTTTGGGTCGGGTGGATTGCGCATTTGTATTGGGCTTTTCTCATGAAGGTTTATTGAAAAATTCAAGTGTGAGTCTAAGTTCTACATTGAGTAAGAATATAGAAATTGAACAACATATAAGGAAGAAAGATTCATAACTCAATGCCTTAAGATTTTAGGTTGAAGGTGGTGTTATTCTCTTATATGGGTTTGACTCATGTTTCATCGGTGTTGTCTCTTCTCAATGAATTCATCCTCAAAAGACCTAACAATGGTATTAGAGTCGATGATTTGTGTGATGACCAGCAGTTTAATAATGATCCTTGTGTTGAAAATCTTCCTGATGGTGGGCTAAGTAAGGGAATCCCTTTATAATGAACGATGGTACATGAAAGGACCGTTAGTGAACACAAGGAGATGTACCAATGTGAAGGGACTTATACTTGAGGAGGAAATTATTAAGAAATCAAGTATGAGTCTAAGTTCTACATTGTGTAAAAATGAGAAAGTTGAGCAACATATAAGGAAGTAAGACTCATAACCCAATGTCTTAAGGTTTGAGTTGAAGGTATGTCAATCCTTTATGTGAGTTAGACTCATGTCTCATTAGTGTTGTTTCTCCCTAGGGAATCCCCCCTCAAAAGGTCAAACAAGTGAGATTGGTGCTTTTGGACAAGGTTATTCCCCATAGCATCAGAAGTAGAGTTGGGCTATTGAATCAAGGTCATTAAAGAATAGTATTGGGCTTGGGTCAAAGTAACAGGGCTTGAAGAAGCAATTGGTCCCTCTACTAGGTCGACTGAAGCAACACTATTGGCAGAAGAATGGAAGTCGCAATTTTTTAATCATGGGTGACCAGGGTAGTAAGTGTAACCTAGTGGATAGTTGTTCTTCCTCCAACATATGTCAATAGTGTGTTCAATGTGGTGGCAGTAAAAGCACTTTTTTTTGAAAGCATTTTCATTGGTGGAAGACGATCCAGATGTATCATGACCTTTACTAAAGGCATTGGAAGGTTTATGAAGTTATTGGGTTCAATAAAGGAAGGAGGAACAACACTGAGTTGACGTTCCTGTTGAACTATCATGAAAAAAACTCAATTGACTCATGGAAGGGGATCCATAAGAAAGATTTGGGAATGGACAACAACAAAATGTTCATTCAAGTCCTTCAAGAATCTGATGACAAAATCCTACTAGTGGTATTTCTTGGCCTCACAAGAATAGATAACAAAAGGACGATAATTATCCAGTTCCTCCCGGAGGGTTATTAAGGTAGTGTAAAATTAATAGACAAGACAACTTGAGAAAGGTCAAAGATTTCTTCTTGTAGCTTTGCAATGCAGAGAAGATCCTTTTGTGAACAAATTCATGAAGGTCGTTGCAAATGTTAGTAGCATATTCAAGGAAGATGACGTTTTAACCAATGGAGAGGGAAAGCAATTTCATAAACTATATGATGAGAGTGTTGCATCTCTCTCATACTGAGTAAAGAGGTTCTTTGATTGAAGGGTTTGGAATTGTGCTAAGGAGGAATGTCATTTTGTTTTTGGAGATAAAGGTCGTATAAAAAGTACGAAACCAAGATTGATAGTTGGTTCCATCAATGAAATGAGTAATAAACACAAAGGAAAGACCATTACTAAGATGGATTAGAGATTGGTTAAAATGCAATATCATTTTCAAACTAAAACAAATTAATCTTTTAATATTCAATTAATTAGTTTCTTCAAAGCTAATTTTTAAAATTATTCTAAAACAATCTAATCATCAATGAAATTTTGATTAATTCAGGAAAATGATATATATGGGCGAAAAATAATATATAAGTGATAGATTACTTAAGATAATAGTTCTCCGATTAAAAAACAAATGTTTCAAATGTATATTTATAAAATAAATAATATTTAAAATTATTTTTTTATATTTTTTATTTAAATCGATATAATTTATCCTTTATATGGAGAGAGACTTACTTGTATTTTATTATAATAAAAGGGAATTGAATTATATTTGTAATACAAATATCTAGAAATTTAATTAAAAATAAAAAATATACATAAAAGTTGATTTTATGAAATAAATTGTCCATTCTACTTATATTTTTAATATCATAAATTTATAATTTAATAATGTAGAGATTGTAATTTGATTTATAACAAAGTATCCAATTACATCCTTAAAAAACACGTTGAATATGTGGTTGAGTGAAATAATTAACTAAATAATACATTTAGAGAATGGAATACATTTCTTAGTAGATATATTCTCATGCTACTTCAATAAATGCTTGGTGGGCTTCGTGTAGGTTAAAAGGAAAAAAAAAAAAAAAGAGTAAAAGTTGCAAGATAACAAGTAAAGCAAAGATGGAAGATAAATAGGTTTGATTTAGATTGGTCGTTTCAGATTTTGTTTATGTTCATGACATACTTATATTTGAAAAATAGGCTTATTTATATGTACAAGGTTAATATTCAACTCAATAATTCAATCATTTTCTTTTAATTTTTTAAATTAACAGTTCAATTTGAGTAGGAATATGGTTACGTAAACTTTTTGTAAGTATTTTTTAATATTCTTGAAATAATTTATATATAAACTAATTTTAACTTTCAGAAAAATTAATTTCAGCTTCTTCTTCTTTTTTTCTTTTTTCTTTTTTTCTTAAAGAAATTACACCCATAACTCCTGTTGAGTTCTATTATTTCCTCAAATGCACAACCAATAATCGAGCCTCCTAGTTTCAACCACCAAATTTAGCCTCAAATCTACTAAATTTTCAGTTGTTAATAAAATCACGTTTTTAAGTGTTTTTTTTCATAAATATATTAAAAAAAGTTATATTTTTTAAATAATACAAATAATATATATTTTTTATTTATAAAAATTCTTACATATATATAATAATAGTTTTAACTTATAAAGATTTTTTTTAATTATACTTATAATTGCTTACAATGAAGCCAGTACAGACATATTCAAGCCACAAGAAAGCTGTATTTTTAAGTTTTATTCTTAATTATTGGTTTAGTTTTTTTATAGGTTTGAAAAATTAGAATGGATTAGATTTTGAACACCTATATTGTTATTTTTAGACAGTATTATAATTTTAATGAACGATAAGACTTACTTTATAAAATTATGAGAGATTAGGATTAAACACTAGTATAATTTTTTTTAAACAATCCTATTACAAACCACCACGTGTGTAAAAAAATATACATTGGCAATAAATATTTATTTAACTCCAAACGAGGACTAATTTATGTAGTTTTCTTCATAAAGGGATTAAACAAAAATTTTACATTGAACGTAGATACAAATTGATAATCAATCAAGAAAATATAAAATTAGTGTTATTAAATATAATTTTTCATTTTTGTTATTTTTACTTCATTTGTGTGTTAATATTTAAAAAATAATAATTTACTTAGTCCCTTAAATTACTTTCGTGATAACTGAAGAAAGCTTGAACATAAAAACATGACTTAATTCACTTAAAAAATAAAGTAAAAGAACTTAATTAATTACAAATTAAAGATAAAGGATAAAATAGAGTAAATTGACAATTTTGTTCTCAAGGTGAATATAAGTGAAAATGAAAATAAATAATGATAATAATAATTTTGATTTCATCAACTTAGATAATTAAGAAGAATGTGAATGAAATTTTTGGAATCAAATAAATGTGAAGTGTTATTGTTTGAGTTTGTGGGCTTATCAACTTCCCACACAATACTTAGTTTGTTTTTGTGACCCAAAAATGATCCCACTCTCAATAATGGAACGGCTAACCTACATCACAATATGGTCCTAAAAATTAGGGTGGGAATTTATCCGTCGTGGTCCAATTTTAATGAAAAAAAGTCGAGTTAATGAAGCTGAAGGCGGGTTTAAGTTTAATCCGTTTCAAAAGCGTGATGAAGATAAATAATATAATTCTCATTTTGATTTTATCTCCATCGTCATTCTAATTTTAGATTTAAATTAAAATATTAATATTTTTAAATATTAATTTTCTTTTTTATATTATATATAAGATTTTTTATATTTTATTTATTTTAATTTATTTTATCTATTTTTTCACCTTTCTATTTTTTTTAATCTCTTAAATTAATTATATTATTATTTTTCTTTTATCTATAACTTATTCATATATCTTAATTTCTTTAATAATTTGATTTTTCAATCAATATAATAAATACAATTTTTTTTATTTTTTTTATTCTAAATATTCTGCATTAATCATAATAATAATTAATATTATTTTATTTATAATTTATCTTTATTTAATTTTATTATATTATATTTTATAGATTTTATTATTCTTATTAAATTTTATCTTAATAAAATAATTATATTTTGAAGAATTAAATAAAATGAATAATTAAAATTTTATTTCTTTAAACTAATTAAATAAAAATTATTTTTATTAAATATTTTATTATAAAATATATATTTTATATTATAAATATTTTAAAATAATAATTTAAAAAATAATTAACTTTATATATAATAAATATAATAAATTAAAATATATACTTAATTATTTAATAATTATTATTATAAATTACAAATATTTATTTATATATAAATATATATGTATATAATATTAAAATTAATTTTTTACAACTATAATTATTTTTGAAAAATTAACTTAAAATAAGAACAAAAAACTCGATGTCACAACGAAGAGGTAAAACCCATCCCAGTCGTCAGTTACCATGTCTACAAGAAAAGAAATAGATTGGGATATATAGAGAGAAAAATACCAAAACATTCGTACTTTCGTATTTATCCTTATCATACGACCTATTTTACAAATTACGATACTATTTTTTGAATAATACCAAGCACTATTTTAACATCTTTTGAGATCTTTAGAATAATAAACATAAAATAAAAAGTTAATAAGAAAGTGCGGAGAAAAGAATAAAATGTAGTTTTGTTATCTATGCGTGTGTCTGTCTGTCCTATTCATTCAATATCATTGACCATGGGCTTACAACTTTGAATCGAATTTAGATGTTATTATTCATTGTTACCACCAAGCCAAGCCTCAAAGTTCAAACATTATTAGAACATGTCCTGTAGCAACTTTGACTAACCACAGCCTCTGTCGGTGACTGAAACTGACACTGCCCCGTGAATCATGTAATTTATGCTTTAAGCTATGCTTTAAGATATAGTTTTATATTTTTCGATAATGTAATTCATGCAAATATTGTCATATAAAAAAATTACATAAAATATGATACACACTGATAAAAGAAAAGGTTGACGTAGAGAGAAGGTAGATTGAGACCTCCGTTACACTTTATTGGCAAACCATTACCACAATAACAGTAGTTATAACTCCAAACTATCAGTGTTTAACGAATAATTTTAAATTAACGTTTGTGCAGCTTAATAGTGTGTTCTAAAAATAGAGAAATTGATTATTTTGTGAGAATTAGAATGAAAGAAAAAAATAAATAAAACTATTTTTCCTCGTCCTTTTCCTCTAGTCTTGGACAGTTGTTGAGGTGATAAAACGTTAATTAATGCTTATTGGTTAACACTACTAGTTTGCTTTTTTTGGTATTGAATTAATGTCAATTTACTAACTTTAATTTATTTTAGGAAACATAGCCTTTTGTTTAGGAAATTGATTATCAATTTGTGTAGAAAATGTAAGACTTTTAAGTTGAAAGCATGCAAGAATAAACAGAAAATCATGGAGGCATTGAACTCCCATTCTATCAGTAAAATTAGATTGCTAATTCTTTATTTATTCTTTTTCTGATTAGTACTTTGAATGTTTTCCTCTTCCTATGACATAACGCAATGAAAGAGAAGAAAGATGCTAACAAAAATCTTTTTCAATAATCAAATATCTTTAGATATGTTTCAATCCATACTAAAAAATATTATTAAATTAAAATAATCAATTGAAAAAAAAGGAAAGAAATTCTTTGATTCAAAATAGTTTAGAGCTACATTATACAAATCCATGGATAAACAGTAGCTACAAGATATAGAATCTCATTTTAAATAAAACAATAAGTTATCGAACTTAAAATTACAATGAGATATAGGTCTTATTTGTGTATATCTCTTTCTTATTGGAAGTGTCTAATACATAGGAGAATATGCACATTCCATCTTGGAATATAACTACGAAGGAAAAGAAATAAAATAAAATAATATGTCATAAATGATTAGATTAAAAAAACAAAAAGATAAAATATTAGAGAAAAATAATTTTTAATATTAAAAATTGTTGTGAACAACCTAAGGAAGAGTCAAAGGTAGATTGATTAACAGAACCTCTCAAGAGGTCGACCCCTCATCTACATTATACATCCATTATTAACACACACAAAGGCCCGTCATCACTCTCTCTTTACTCATTAATTATTGTAGACACCACACAACCAACAAACACTTTCATCAATAACTTCACCACATCCTTAAGTTCCAAAATATTTAATTTTCCACCAAAATCACCCCTATCTCTATTTTCTTTATTATTTAAGAAAAAACAGATGAATGCAGCAAAGAATATAAATTAAGAAAACCGATGAATAACACCAATCATATGTTGGTCTCCCATATATATACCTGGGTGTTCCCTTTATGAAGAGAAAGTGTCTCTACTGAACCAAAGAGAACAACTATGGATCAGAAAAACTACCACTCATCTTTTTCTTCAACTTCAAACAGAGATCACTATCTGAGACAACTCAACAAGCTTTCACATAACATTTCCAAACCCAACATTAAGAAACCCACCTTCGATTCTTCCCAGACCCACACCTTCAACAAACACGCTCTCCCCGATTCTCACCCACACGTCTACAACATCAGCAAGACCGATTTCAGGGACATGGTCCAAAAGCTCACCGGTTCACCCGCTCACAACCCGCAACCCAAACCGGTTGCTACCTCTCGCCTCCACCGCCTGCGCCCGCCTCCGCTGCCGCAGATTATCAGCCACCATCCACCACCTCGCTCCGCCGCCGCGCCTCCCTCGCCTCTCCCGCCGTTTCCCAGCGTCCATGCGGAATCCCCTGTCTCGGCGTACATGCGGTTTCTGCGGAACTCGATGCCATCGTCTATTTCGGAGTCGGAGTTTCAGACTTTTGGATGCTTGAACTCGGTTTCCCAGATTCCCCTGTCACCGACTGTGCCGGTTTCGAGCCCTGGAGGATGGAGAGATCTTTGAACTTGTGTTTGTTGTGGTATGTAGTTTAATAAAATCTGTAGTTTCATTAGATTTCTAGATGGTAACAACAGGGAAAGAGTAAAATTGAGTATTCGTGTTGACATAAAAACATGCTTAACCTTAAATCAATGAATTATTGCTGAGAAAGTTATAGAGATGACAACCATTTATGAATAAACCAGTGTGGCATCATAAGGAACCAGTTTTTATATGGAGTTGCTCACATTTTTTAGATTTTTGACATGTTATAAAATTATTACTTTTTATTTGAAATTTAGTCACAATTTAACTTTTTTTTTTTTCTTCTTAATGATGTGTTATTTAAGACTTAACTAAGCTTATCTTTTATAAACTCCTTCCTTCTTCTAAAGTTTTGGCTTTTTTAGGTTAGGAATAGGTTGAGAGGATTTTTAAAAAATGATAGAATATATAGTTACATTAAGTTTCAAATTATTGCACAATTATTATAATTTGATTGTAAATACCATATATGACCCTCACAAATTAAGAAAATTTCAAATAGAGTAATGTATATAGGTTTGAAATGTAAGTTTATAATTGCACACACCAAATTAAGTTTATGGGTGATAACATATTTATATATCATTATACACAATAGAAATTTTGTATAAAATACCTTGTGTATAAATACAAATAAAATGATACTATTTAATGAATAAAAAAAGCTTGCAAAAAAACATAATATGTTTATGTTAGTGAAATATTGAGGATGTATTTAAGCATCAAATATATTCTCAAATTGGATTCAAACAAATATAAAAAGACGTTATATTCTGATTTACCAATATGACTTTATGTTTTTCACACCTTAATTTTTTTGTTATAAATTTAAAATATAGTTTATAAATATTTGTGTGCCACATAAAAAGGTCAAAACAATTCCAACCCCTTAGCCTTCGAGGAAATACTTGCTTCTACTCATTTAAAAATCTTACATAACTTAGAGTTAAAAAAATAAAAATAAAAATTAATAAACATCGTATTCCCATGATGATAAGCATATTCTTCCTTAAACAAATTGAACACTGTTTTAAAAGCGTACACTGTTAGAATTAGAATCCAAATTTCAAAGCAAACATATTTCAAATATGATGAGTATAACAATATCTAAATAATTTGGATTGTTGAAAATAATTTATATTCTTTTTTTTTCAATAGAGATAATATAAAATTTTATAAAACTCGCAAACTAATAATCTTTTTAAAAGATGTTAAATAGTTTTTTTTAATCTTAAAATATAATTTCACCTATTTTATAAAAGTGTAAGTGATTTGAGTTAAATCAAATTTAGTTTAATTTTAAATTTCATTTAATGTAATTTAATTTAATTTTTATTTAATAATTCAACCCAATTATAATTATATGGATTAAGTAATATCAAATTGAAAAATATTCATATATAATTAAAACAAATAATTAGATTAGATCTACCAAATTTGATATTTATGAAGTAATTACCTAATCAATTATAAATTAAGAATACTAAATTAAACCTCTATCCAACTCAATCCATTCAAGAAATTACAATTAAGAAGATTTATTGATTATGTGCATTGCTTATATGTTTTAATGTATTCTATATTTTTTTAAATGAAATAATTACTTATTATACTTTTAAAACAAGGGCATAAAAAAAGCAATTCTTTATTTTTTATTTCTCTAGCCATACAGTAGAAGAGAAACCAACAAAAAATGCAAACAAAATTATATAAAAAGTTATTAAAAATAATCACTTTTCAACCATTTTTTTTTTATCACCAACAAACATGCTAATATATTATAACTATGATTTGAACTAAACTTGAAACCTAGATTTGTGGGTAAGTAAAAAGAGATTGATAAATTTGATGATTTTGGTCGTTAGTCTTGGCTCCTTGTGGTGTTGTATGGAGGATATATTGGGTATTTCGCATTTTCTTCTTGTATTCTTAAAAATATGGCTACAAATTATTCTTGCTTAAACCATATATTGTCCAGTTGGAATATTTGTAATATCTGTAATGCCCAATATAGCTCTCCTGCTTTTTTCTTGCAACTTGCATGGAATTTGTTAATGCTCCAATTCAAATTGTGGGCAATGGAACTTTCAAGGAATAAATTATAATTGTGTTATTACATCTTTTTCTTATTGAGAAAATAAGATTTATATCTATAAAAATATATTATTTAATCATAAAATAATATTTATAATATGTTTATTCATAATACTAAATGTTTTTTTAATATCAAATATAATTATAATTGTTTGATAATATAAAATTTATACTAACTAAATAAAATTGTGTTTTCTATCTTTCTATATTTTTTTAGGTTGGTAAGTTGTACTAAACTTTTATATATATTCTTTAATCTATCAAAATATTTTATAAAGATAAAATTGTGATAAAATTAAATTTAATTTGAAAAGAAAATAATAGTTCATAACAGTTATATCTTAGTAAATTCAATATCAGAATATTATTATAATTTTGTTTTTTTATATAATATTTATTTATTGTATCAATATAAGTATATAATTTCTCATTACAATTTTATCTCTCTTAATTGTTCAGTATTGTAGGTAAGTTGATTTATATCATTGGTTACTGTATGGAATGAGGGGCATCATTGATTCCTGTAACCTAACTCTTCCTTATGTGTCAACTTGTTCATATATGCTTGATGGATTGAATAACTATCCTAAATTGTCTTTTATATATATATATAGTCATTAGGTTATTTGGTTTTAGGAGAAAAAAACTGAGTCAAACAATTTATGTTAATTAAATTCAAGTTAAAAATTAATCACCTAATTAATCAAATTTAATTCGAACCAGTTTAATAAATATGCTTTTAAGATACTTTGATATTTAACATTTTATTAATTTGAACAAACTAAAAGACTTCAACAAGAACTAATTAGTCAAATTTAGGTTGTAATTCATGGTAATAAATGGATCATATGTTTATATAAACATGTTTTTTCAAAATTATCCTTGTCATTGATATTTTCTATTCAATCTAATTTGTTTTAATTAAAGATAATTTGGTTTTAAAATTAATGCAATAAATAATTTGAATTTCTTTTAAAAAATATATCTTTTTATTTTAGGACTTAAAAAATACAACAGAAAAAAATATTAAAAATCATGGAAGAAGTGTTAGAAAAAGAATGTTACATATTTTAACCAATGTCTTAAGGCACTGCTCTCTCTTTCTATCGCACCGTCTCCCAGTATATATATATAACTTGTCAACAAAAAGAACTATAAAGTAATATTAATTAAAAAATACATTATTTTTTTATTTTTCATTAATAAAACATATTCTATATAATATATAAATAATAAATGAAAAGAAAAAATAATAATAGTAAAAACATTAAAAAAAATGTTTAACTCAACAAACAAATACATTTGAAAACTTAAAACACGTTCTAATGCAAGATGACTGACTCATCATTAAATTGTAAGAGACCATTTGGAAAATCTTTAAGAATTTACGATGTTCAAGACCTGATAATACTTAAGAGTAAGACCATAAATCACAACCAAAAACTCCAAACCCTTAATTCTTCTCTGGATTCGAATTTAATTTTATCCTTAATAAAAACACGCCTAATGTCATCGTGATTAATAATCAGATCAATTGGTATACGGGCTGCCATGTCCATAGTCATTTAACTTTTGAGAAATAAACAAAACTCCACCCTGGTTCCACTGTAAACCTTGACAGCGTTTGTTGGTCATCATCTATGACAAATCCAAAGTCCCTATATAACTACTATTGTTTCTTCACCTCATCCAATCCAGCCACTCAAATTAGAATCCAAACAGGTAATTGAAAATTACAAAATATCTTTTATGAAATTATCCATCATTATTCATGACTGCATGAGGATTGTCCAAGAATAGCGCTCAAAAGTAGACCTAAGCTGACTCAAGCGGATAATCCTCACAAACAAAACAAAAACACGAGAAAATCTGTCAAGTTTATTATTCCGAGGCTTTAGAATAAAAACAAATAAAGGTATCAAACCTTCATATCCTAAATTAATCAGCGATAACATGTTTGCTAAGAGAATATTTTCTTAATATTCTACGAGCATATAATGGAAATTTCAGTGTCATTAAGAAAGTAGGCAATTCAGAAAAGCGTACAAATGGAAGGACAAACTAAAACAGCCCACTACATCCACAATTCATAACAAATACCATGGAATGCCTAAAATCTCAGTAACATCGAGATTAGCAATCGGCACCTTCTCGCTTTGAAAACATTATAGAAGGGAAGTTCAATGACTAATTAGCAGTATGATGTGTTTAATTTTGTTCTCCGTCACCTTTGGGCGCGGCTTCTTTAATTTCATCTGCACCATCATCCTGAAATCCCAACAAAATAAGAACCGAAATTAATAGATAGATTCTCTGCAGAGAATAAAGCGATGTACCGTACAAATGATGGTGGAAATCTAAACAGTCATACCTGCATGTCAGAGGTCCACAGGGTGAGGTTATCACGAAGAAGTTGCATGATCAAAGTGCTATCCTTGTATGACTCCTCTCCCAATGTATCCAATTCAGCAATTGCCTCGTCAAAAGCCTGGTGAATATCAAAATTAACAGAGATGGTCACGATTACATGCCGTTCTACAACAGAAGGCCTACCAAAGTTAACGAGTTACGATCATTTATCATTTACAATCTTATTTAGGTTTAGATTACGATTATTTATGATTTACATTCTTATTTAGTCATCAGAATCTAGCATCAAGATTAGTTAGACATAAGTGAAACTATAGTATGATTGTTGTTGCAATGAAATGAATATTATTACAATTCATGAATAGATAAATTCGAATATTTCACTACATCCAGCCATAAACTTATTTTTAACTGTAATGCCATGGAGTTTCCATTTGTAAAAAGGGAAAAAAAATGAAGTTTATCTTCATACAAACCTGTTTCGCAAGGCTGCAAGCCCGATCAGGAGAGTTAAGAATCTCATAGTAAAACACAGAGAAGTTCAGAGCAAGACCCAGTCTAATAGGGTGAGTTGGAGGCAGCTCAGAATTTGCAATGTCCTATATACACAGTGCAGTTAAACCAAAACATCAGAAAAAACAAAAAGCGGTAAACAAGCTTCGAAAAAAAACCATTCATACAACAGAAAATCTCCAGTTATACAAAGCTGCAAATCAGCGTCACTATATCACGTTACAAAATGGAAGTAATTATAAATCAAACACATACACAAAATTATTCAATTGTTTAGGAGTAACAATTTCAGAATATCAATTTCCTTCGTTTCCTAAACCACTGTTACCATAGAGAATCCACTATTTAGACCTAAAATTTGTAACACAGAACCCACTGTTAATAATTTTAATTTTAAACAAACAAGCAATCTCCAAATTTCAACCTCCATCGCTTCCAAACGGGCCTGCTACCGTAAAGATCCCCCTATTCTCAGCTAAAATTTGCAACACAGAATTACATTTTTGAATCCTAAATCAAACACGCACGCAAAATATTAATCTACTTTTTAATATTTACAATTTTAAACGAGTGATTTCTGAATTGCAACCACCTTCGAACAGAAAGTCACTTTTACCGAATTAGATTCCACTAGTCTGACCAAAAATTGACCAAATCAAGCGCGCGTGAGGCTCCACTCGCGCGTGCAAATAATTAACACACAATCAATCAAATCACGAATCTGGCGAGTATAGCAAACAGATCTACGTCGCCAAAATTAGACGTTAAAGAAAAAATCGAAGAAACCTGAGCAGATTTGTAGGCAGAGAGCGTGCTCTCGGCGGCCTCTTTGCGGTCGGCGCCGGTCTTAAACTCGGCAAGGTACCTGTGGTAATCGCCCTTCATTTTGAGGTAAAAGACCTTGGAGTCACCGGCGGCGGCGGTGGGAACAAGGCGCGAGTCGAGGAGCTTGAGGATTCCGTCGCAGATGTTGGAGAGTTCGGTCTCGATCTTGGATCGGTAGTCGCGGATGACACTGACGTGGTCCTCGTTTCCTCGGCTTTCCTCCTTCTGCTCGATGGAGGAGATGATGCGCCAGGAGGCGCGTCTGGCGCCGATGACGTTCTTGTAGGCGACGGAGAGGAGGTTGCGCTCCTCGACGGTGAGTTCTTCGTTCTCCGCTGCGGCAGAGACCTTCTCCATGAACTCCACCATCTCTTCGTAGCGCTCGGCTTGCTCCGCAAGCTTCGCCATGTAGACGAACTCTTCGCGTGGAGAGGGAGCGCTCGCCATTGCGGGATCTGGTTACAGATGAGAGAGAAAGAGAGAAAGAAAAAGAGAGAAGCAGGGAAAGGGCGTGAGAGGGATTGTAAGAAACAAATAGTGCGTTTTGTTAACTATTTTATTTGTGGGAGAACCGAAAGGGAGGGATTGGTTCCTTCTTCTGTGCTTCCGTTTCTGCCACCCATGATTGCGTTTTCGAGGGGGCTTATTTTTTATTTTTGGACACGCCCATTCTCCACCTTTGGATCCCATTCATTCGTTCATTCCCAGGACAAAAATAGCCTTCCCTCTCTTTCTCTCTCTTCTCCTCCTTTCTTTTTTTTTTTTTCTATTTTTAAGTTCTTGTTATCATCATTTTTTTTTTCTGGGAATTATTCTTCCTGTATTTTGTTAATAAGAATATAAGAATTTCAATGCTTTTAGGGAGAGAAGGAATAGCTGGCAAGCACGGGTTTGATTTAGTTTGGCGGAAAGGTGTGACTCACGCACTCACATGGTGACTCGCGTGGATGATGGGTACCTCCAGTTTGAAATTCGAAGTTTGCTTCACATTTCAAAAACATAAACTATATTTTTACATTTATTCTAAATAAGGAAAAAAATAGTTTAAAATTATATAGGGAAGGGAAGAAAAAAATAATATGTGTAATTAAATTTTACAGAAAATAAAATCACATATTAACAAAAATTATAAAAATAATCAATTCATTCAATGGTCAAAAATCGGTTGAGTTTATTTCGGACTTAATATTAGAGGCAAGTGAACACATTTTTATTTTATTCGAGTTTTTTTTTTGAAACTACAAATTATAAATTGGCTATTGATGAATCCTTATTTTATTTTAGGTGCGATCCTCATTCCTGAATTAGTAACGTGAAGTGCTGCATAGATCATAAAAATGGTAGAAGAGATGTTGTGCTTTTTCTAAAGCCAAACTATGGTCCCTATTTCTTCAACAAAATCAATTTTTATCAACATTGGTTTCCTAATTATAAATGTGAATTTGATCAGTTATTGGAGTTAAATTTTGTTTACATGAATTAGGACTAAAAGATTCCCAGTCCATATATATGAAAAAGTTGGTACGATCAACAAACTCAATTTTTTATATAAAAAAAATCAAAATCTATTCTAAAAATTATTACTTAAAAAAAATTATACATGTAAAAAAATAGTAATTTACTTCTAATTTTAACTATTCATAATATAATTAAATTTAAACGAAAAAAAAAACATTATAACCTAATACAATTTAATTACATATATAAAAAAACTATATTTCTACCAACAAAAATAACTATAAACTTAAATATCAATATATTTTCATCTTCTTATAGTAATAAATAATTAAATAATTAACAATTAATTGTTTTATTAAAGACGTTATTTAATAATACAAGGTAAATTGTCTTTATACAAAAAAAAGTTTTAAACTAATAAAAAACCTAAAATAAAAAATAATATATAACATTTAAATTAATTTTCTTAACCTTCAAATAAATTTAGTGGATTTAACTTTCAAACTAAAATGCTTTATAGCTATAATTTACTTTAATTCTAGTTAATTTCTTAAAACATATTTGATTTATTAATTATTTTATTGTAAATAAATTATTTCATTTTTCAAAGTTATTTAAATCAATTTAAAAGACAAATAAAAGGGGAAAAAACTAATCGAGAAAATGAATTATTTAAAAAAACTATTGAAACAAAATATTTTTTTAGAATAAAAACAATTCAGAAGTTGTGTTCTATTAGATATGCATTTATTTTTTTTATTTAAATAAATACTAAATTGTTGTCTTGCCTTGGCTCAAAGACAAATAAAAAATACGAGCAGTTAAAAAAAATGAATTTTTTTTTTACAGGAAATAGGAACTACATAATTCCACACACCAACATATATACCTGTTAATTTAATCCCCGATGTGGGACCTCTAATTGACAATTATAACATTATTAGTTTGTCTAAACATGAGGACACCAAATTTCAACGTTCAGGTTCACATGTTCCTGTTTTCAGTAGCTAAACAATCAACATTGTTTTTTATTACTTTGCAAGGTTCACTTAATACTCAGTGAGCGAAATTAGCCATGAAAACGGCGTGGGTTATGCCTCCCCATCCCCACTCCCTACTCTTTTAACAATCTCGTCTATATTCCCCGATTAGGTTAAAAATTAAGTCTTCATTCTTTGTCTCTAATTTATATTATTTTTAAAAAAATAATTACATTTATAATAAATTAATTTTATTATGTATTTTTATATATAAATAAATATTTATAATTTATAATCATTATTAATTAAATATACATTTTAATTTATTATATTTATATTAAAATATATATGTAAAAAAATATTTAATCATTTTTTATTTATATATATATATATATCTAATATTTATAACATTATTATTATTATTATTATTATTATTATTATAACATTGTATTCAAACATTTGAATATTTATAACATTATTATTATAATACTGTATTTAAACATTTGATTATATATATAAGTTAATTCATTTTTAAGTTGTCATTAAAAATATGAAATATATAGTTTATAAAGAAATATTTAATAAGTTAATTCTTATTTAATTAGTTTGAAGTAATAAAAGTTTAAATTATTAATTCCTTTTAATCCTTTAAAATATAATTATTTTATTAAGATAAAATTTGATATATGATAAATAAGCATAGTAAGATAAAAAAATATGACATAATAAAATATAATAAATATAAATTATAAATAAACTAATATTAGTTACTACTAAGATTTATGTAAAATATTTAGAAAAAAGAAATAAAAAAGAAAAAAACATAATTTTGTGTTCATCAGATTGGTTGAAAAGATTGAAAAAAAAAACAAATTGATGGGAGAGATTAAGAAAATGTGAAAAACTAAAAGACAACAGAAAGAATAATATAATAAATTAATTGATATAAAAGATTGAAAAAGATAAAAAAAATTAAAAAGTTGATAGAAGAAAAATAAAAATTAGTGAAATATAAAAAAATAATCTTATATGTAATAGAAAAAGAAAATGAAATTGTTTTAAAATATTAATATTTTAAAATTAAAATTAAAATATAAAGTTAGGGCAGGGATTGCATTACTTATCCCCGTCTCCGTCTCCGACTTTTTAAAGCAGGGAAAATCTGAACCCGAGCCTGTCCTCGGCCAACTCGAGTTTTCTGTATCAAACTCGGGCACGGTTTAATTGCACCTAATCCTACGCGAACCAATAACACAAACCCTTGTTAGTTATACCATCAGCAACATTGCTTGTTTCTTTAACGCATGACACGATATTAAAGATTTTAGTAATTTTAAATTTTCGATGCAAGCTAAGGCATGGATCACCCATGTAATTGTGATATTTTGCTTAACTTTTCACCTTTTCTGTAGTACGTGGCCCATTTTATGTTTTAAACATAGGGCAGAAATTATCTTAGAAATTGACTGTTTCAAGCTTCCGCCCCCAGCTTGACTTAGTTGTTTAATATAATAAGAACCCTTTCCCTTTCCCAAAAGGGGAAGAAATTGAAACAAAAGACGAGCACCCACTGAAATGTAATAAAAGATAAGGCCCAAGGTTTAATTTACGTTTTTCACAACCCTTTTTTCTCCCTATTCACTGTCCTTCCATTTAATGTCATCAACCACATATCATTTATGATATATCCAATGATTCTTCTAATTTGGCTCGCAGCATAACCAATGGAAAGGAGCAAAATACAAATGCTTTATGATGCTACTCATGCCTTGTTTTCTGAACAGAGGCTTCCAAGTTTTCAACAAATCCATTATCTCAAAAATTTGCTAGGTGTGTTTCAGTGTCTCTATATATATTGTTCATGTTATGTTCACATGTATTAATTTGTTTCTTTTCGTTATTCTTCTAAATCCTAACCTCTATAGTTATTAGCTTCCATGTAAATAAAGGACTGACCCATATGTTTGAGTTCAATTAATTTGCAGATAAAATTGAAGCTGTAGACGTGGGAATCGACGAGTTTGGGTTGTGTGATTCTCCTATGTCAGATGAAACCGTTGATAGCAGCAAGGGATTGCTTTGTGGACAAGGCTTCTCTGAGATTACATACATTCACATTCATGAATGTGACAATTTTTCTGTGAGTATAGAAAATAGAAATACAATATTTGAATTACTTCTTTTGTTCATCAACAAATTGGAGTGAGATTTAACGACCCTTACGGCGATCTAATGTAACGAATTTGAAGAACATGCAGATGGGTGTGTTCTGTCTTCCAGCAGGAAAAGTGTTTCCACTTCATGATCACCCAGGAATGACAGTGTTGAGTAAGCTCTTGTATGGCTCTGCCTACGTCAAAGCTTATGACTGGATCACATTGGATTGTGCTGGAACACAAACAAGTACGAAGAAATTGCTTTTTATCTGAATTTGTTTATACACGTTATCCTAATCCTTATTAATATAGCAAGTTTTATTTCAATCCTCTATTTTTAAGTTTTAGTTTTTACAATTTAAACTTTTTAAGACAAGTCTCTATCATTAACTAATAATAGCGTGACACGGGTACAAATATGTCACGTCAATAATTTCTTTGAAATAGCTTGCAATGCAGAATGGTATGTCACCAATAGACGATGATGGAAATCATTTTTCAAATTTATAATATAAAAGGAATTATTTATAATGTTGAACTTACAACCAAATAACCTTTATTTTCCCTAATAAACTAACTATAACAACAATTTGTCTCTTAATATTGAAATATTTTTATCTTAGCATACTAACAATTTGTTTTTTCAACATGGAAATGTGAGTGCAGTAGGATTGGGTGGGAGGGTAGTGGATGAAGTAATCAAAGCACCACATGAGCCATCTATATTATTTCCAAGAAGTGGTGGCAATATTCATTCTTTCACAGCGTTGACGCCATGTGCAATACTAGACGTGCTGTCTCCACCATACTCTGAGGACTTTGGAAGGCCTTCCACTTATTTCTCAGATATCCCTATCCCTTCTCTTAATGGTAATTATTTTAATTTGGGTTGTTTCATTTCTCTTCATTAATTATCTTAGGTACAAAGTTTAAGCCACTGATTCATTGATTCGTTTTATTTTGTGTGCTACTGGGGCAGGTTATGCCATACTTGAGGAGAAACCCGTGCCTAGTGACCTATTTGTTCAAGGAGCACCATACCTTGGACCTTCAATTGTGACCGTGGACGAATACAACTTTGGTGAAATCGGTTTTGAGAACTACGTGTAAATTGTATGTCTGTGTGTACGTGTAATATGTAAACAAAAATATATAAATTAACAGCAATTTTGAAAAATACATTAAAATACATTAATTGGCTTCGGAACCGCCCCATGTTGCTCATTGGCGTATAAGCGAGGGAAAGTGCGGAGTTTGCAGTGTCCATGGTCAAAGGCTGTCAGCCACGTACTTCCAATTAAGTTTATTGGTACAACTCTAGATTGTGTGTAGATATCAATTTAGTAAACTTAAGAGAACATAAGTTTATCGGCTAAATAGAAAAAGAAGACATCACATGTATTGTGATCACCAAAAGGTCAAAAGTATTTATGTAATCGGAACATCAAAAGCAAGTTGGAAAAAATTATTTAAAGAAATATATACTTGGTGCGCATTTGGTTTCACCTATTTCAGAGATAACTTATATTTTACAATTTTTTAAATTCCTGTAGAACTTTAAAAGAGGATTACTATTTCTCTAAGGTCTATGCTTTAACAAGAAAAAAAGTGTGAAAAAATGAAGAAGAAGAAATGAAATATAATATTAAATATTTTTATTATTTAAGAAGAAAGTGACATAAAAAATTCATTTAAAAATTAATAAATAATAAAATTAAAATTAAAAATTTATTTAATTATAAAATTATCTATATAATTATTTTTTTATTGATAAAATAGTTTTTAATTTTTTAACTTAATATCTATTTTTAATAATATATACTTTAATATAGTTATAAAATATTATTAGTTATGAAAATATTTGTTTACAAATATTTACATTTATAAAATAATATCATATTATAAATAAATATATATATATATATATATATATTATTTTTAATAAAATGTCTTAAATATAAATATAAAAATAATTATAAAATCAAATGAATAATTATATATATATATATATATATATATTAAGTTATAAATATAAAAAATGTTTATTTAAATAAGAATAATTTTTATAAAGTAATATTTTTCTTGTATATTTTATTTTATTAATGTTACAATATTTTTTTTCACATTTTCACTTACTATGAGAAATACTTTTTTTCTCATTTTTATGTGCTGATAATTGTTATTTTACACTTTTTCGTTACAAAAAGTAATAATAAATATACATTTGTTAGATCTTTTAAATTTTGTTAAATCAATTATTAAAAAGAATTGTACGGAGTAATAATATTGGATGACTTATTTTTAAATCAGTGATAAATGTTAAAATCTAATAAAAGAATAACATTTTAAATGATACTCTAAAGTGATCTACACTTAATCGATTGACACGTTCAGACCAGAAGGACCTAACTAAGGGAAGTTGGTTGGATGTCACTGAGAAGTAGTAGATTAAGTATCATGCTATTCATGTCATAGAGGGCTATATAGCCAGAACCTTTTAAGACAAGAAAAAATTGGACAAAACAACAAAGATCAATCTGTCCAAAGTTAGAATGTGGATATTTGAAGTTTTTTTAGATTGATTGAAGATAGTAAATTCCTATATTTGTATGAAGCTTTTAAAAAATATTCTTTCAAATATAGAATATATTGAATAGTGAGTTTAATAAAGTTTTTTCCATAAGGAAAACGTTAATATAAATAATCGTTTTTCATATTCAAGAATCATGTATGTCATGTTTGACATGTTCAAGACATTTACAAAAACTACAAACAAATATATTAAAATTTTATTTGCTTTTGGAAATTTTAGATTCCCACCCTCTCTGATGGGTAAAATTTAGTAGAAAACTTAATTAAAAAAATATTTGCTGGTTATTATTAGAAATGGTTTTTTAAACATTTACACTGAAAAGGGGAGTTTAAAATTCTCAGTCTAGGATTGTTGAAATATATTGAAGAATTCATCTATCAAAACCCCTGAAATTATTCGTTAGAAAGAGTTCAAATTTAAGTTTTTGTCCATTATTATTTTGTCCGAATAATATTAGTTAATATTTTAGTTTTGAATGATTAAATATAAAATAAATATATGTTAAAATATTAATAAATATCATTATGTAAATTTAAATAATGTAAAAGAGGAACTATCTCTACTTAATATATGATTAAATTAATAGTAGTATAGGAATATGAAGGAATAGAAAAAAAAAAATCAAACTTATATATAATCAAAATAATCATAATATTTAAATAACTTCATATGTTGTAGGATATTTTATTTTTAATATCTGAAAGATTTTTATAACATCTCAATGTTTTATTTATATCTTCAAATTATTTTATATGAATAAGTACGTTTTATATTTGTTCATGTTTTTTTAATATGTCTATATTATCTTATCCTATTTAATAAAAAAATATTCCTAAAAAGTTAAGAGAAAAACATTAAAATAAGGACCATAAAAAATTATGTTCGGAGCATCCTAAGTAATTTGTTCAAAAACAATTTTACATGATAAAAAAATAACTTCAGTTATATAAGCAAATGAGTTACCTTGTGAATACTTGTTGTACTTAAAGAATGTTTATTTAACAGTAAGTTTTAACTAATGACTAGTTTATATTCTTCTTCAAGAAGATGGCTTCAATCAAGCATTTGTCTTACCTTGTTAGAGTGGTACAAATATGATAAAATTTTTTTTACTTAAAATATATTTGGAGAAACAAATGAAAGAATAATTGGGTAGAGTTCCAAAGTGATCGGGACACTATTTATAATATTGAGTGATTAGTAGAATTTAGATTTTTTTATCAATTCTTTGTAGTCTTGAGATTAGAATAAATTAATATACAAATATCCAGTGAGTTTTATTCCTCGTTCTAGTTTTACCAACAACAAAAAAAAAACAATTCAACCTTGTTTTTATCACTTTTAAATGTTTTTCAATTTCAAAAATACATTAGACATACCAAATACTTTTATAACATTCTCACTTTTCAAATTATTTTTGCCGTTTTATTTTTTTTCTTTTTTACTTTGTAAACATTTTTATTTATGTTTTTAGGAAATGTATAACTAAAAAAGAAAAAGACTTTTTAATTCGAGTTTGAAGTTTAAGCAAATAAATAAGTGGGCACTTAAATTTGTATAATTTGTTTAACAAAATTCAACAAAGAGAAAGGGGAAAAAAAGTCAAACATTTAATAGTCATCAGGAAAAAAAAATTATACCTTCCAACTATCACTTTGTTTGCTTGCAAATTCACGTTTTTGTATTTTATGCCTCCTTTTGAAGACGTTATTTTACTCTCTTTTTCATTTATTTTGATTGAAAAATGTGATAAAAATACATATTTTTTAAAATTGTTAAGCAATAGAAAGAAAATTAATATATGACTCAGAAATTTTTAAGATCATAATAAATTTTAATTTTACAAGATCGAAAATTTTTCGAATTTTTCTAAATAGTCTCCTTAAATATCTAAGTAGCGGTCTTAATGTTCACTTTAATGTTCTTGGGTGAGGATTTCTTGAACGAAGAAGAACACTCGCAAAAACATTTCTGACACTAAGTCAAATAAATATATAAATAATATAACAAATGTATCAAAATTCATGAATAATATATTCTTTAAAATTCACAGTATTTATAATGTTTTAGATGATTTTTTACTTGATGGATATTTATGGAAGATCCAATACATTAATCATGTTTAATTATTCTAATATTTCTATTTTATTATGTTTAGACTAAGATTCTCTCCTTAGATTATTTTACTTGACTCCGTGTTAGTAGAAAATCGAGAAAAACGATCGAAAAATGAAGGAAAGAAAAATCGAGAAACATGTGATTGATCGGTAAAGTGAAGAGGTGGATGAGAAACCATTAGATGTCCAATTAGAAGGGCGTGGCACACAAAATCGAAAGTTAGAGTCGGAATCGAAGGAATAATAGTTAAAAGTTTATTGTGGAACAAACCAAGAAATTAGAAGTATATGATGCTAAGGTTAAAAGGAATCAAAAGTAATTCAAAGTTCTCGATAAAATCGAAATCGAGGGGAAGGTTAACCTACGTGGATATCGAAACCCTGGCCAAATTGTGAAGGGAAGAATAGTCAAGCGCACATATGCGAAGCAGTTTCTAAACCATGGTAGAAGTCGAAAATCGTGAGAACGTGGGTACAGTATTGAAACCATAGAAGATAAACTGTAACATGCACGTAGAACGTGGTAGCAGTTTTGTTAACTGCTCCTAGAAGGCTTAAATGATGCCCTATAAATAGAGCAAAGGAGGAAGGAATAGAGGGCAGAAAATTGGCAGAGAACAGAATCATTAATGAGAAGTCTACCAGAGAAACGACGAACATCATGAAGCTTCTGGCAATCTGGATTTCCATGCTCATTGAGTACCTTTACCGTTTTCTGTATTTTCCTTGGTAATTTACTTTGATGCAATTTATCTTTAGCAATTTTATGTTTTCTGTACTTTCGATTTTTGGTCATTTCGATTCAATGAAAGTTAAGTTTCCGCGTTTAAGTTTTCTTGTCATTTAACATTAATGCAATTTTGATTTCCAAGTTATTCATACTTTCTGCACATTTGATTTACTGTCATTTATACTTCCTGTTATTTACATTTCTGCTGTTTCGATTCCTTGTCTTTTATATTTAAAGCAAATTTAAGATTTCCACATGTTACGTTTCTTTGCAATCTAATGTTCAGCACTGCTTATCGATTCCATAGAATTTCTGTTTTCTTTACTTCGAGCACTTTAGATACAAAACACCAAAAAAAAAATAGTATCTTTGAAATCGGGTAAAATTCGATCCTCATACGCATCTCGATTGAAAATTAATTTGCTAGCCTAAGTAAAAAGAACTTACGTGGTAGAATTTTGATTAGAATCAAAATATCTTAAGAGTCGAAATCGATCGAAATTCCACCAGAAACAAATTGGCGCGCCAGGTAGGGGGTAGTCTTGTGTTGAAAACACACAAAATCGGTTAGTTCGAGAGTGTATGAGATTAAGGAGTGGGAGAGTTATAAGAATGAGTCAAAATTCATCAAATAACCAAAGTAACAGTGAGGGTCTAAATGGTGTACATTCACCAAATACTGGGGGACAAAGTCAGAATGAGAATATGACTGTAACATCGACAACTGGGAGTATGTCGATACCTGTGGGTAATGAACAAAATTTAGGTACCTTAACAAACAACCAAGTAGGATCTAATGCGGTGGTACCAAATAATATGCAAACTATAGGAAACCCCACAACAACATATGTAGGGCCATATATGAGTGTAAGACCGCCTAGGTTTTCGCTTAATAATATGAGTGGGGCTGGAACTTCTTCAACACAACGGAATTCGAGATATAACTTAGGAATGCCTCAAACACTAGGCATGCCCCAAAATTTTGGAGTCCCTCCAAATTTAGGGACATCTCAAAATTTAGTAATCCCCCAGAATTTAGGAAGTGGACAGAATTTAGGCACACAACAAACGCTTCCAAATCTAGATCATAGAGGAAATCTAGACCATAGAGGAAATTTGGAACATGGAAGATATACATTCGATAGAGATTATCATCGATCCAATTTTGAGACTATCGAAAACACTGGTACTGGGATATCCAGTAACTCATTAGGGATACTTAGACAACAAATGGATGAGAGCAATTTTGAGATGGTGAATATGTTATCACAACAGTTGACTACAGTCCTAAATCCATTAGTTCAAAACACTACTGCTAGTTTTGAGATATTAGCAGATCAAATGTCACGAATCGGGGATGCATTGGTTGTACCTCGACGAACAAGGGTAGAAAATCATGCTAACCAGAATGCCAATATCAATCCCCCGTATCTATTAAGGAGAAATCGAAACAATGATCAACATACGGGGAATGAATACCAACAGATGAGAAATGATATTTGTGGGAATCTGAATGAAGGATTTCAAAATATGTACAATCAGAATAACATGCAGTATAACCACATGTTAGGACAGAGGATGAATTTCCAAGGGATGGAATTTAGACCGCCCAATCAAACGTACTTTGTGTCTCCCTTTCCAAATGCGATTCTCGAGACGGAATTACCTCGAGGATACAAAGTACCTAAATTCACTAAATTTGCTGGAGAAGTTGGTGAATCAACTATCGAGCATGTAGTTCGATATCAGATTGAATGTGGGGACCTAGCGATGAGCGAGGAATTAAAAATGAAATATTTCCCTAGTTCTTTGACTAAGAATGCTTTTACTTGGTTTACTTCATTGCCACCCAATTCGATATATAACTGGCTGCAACTGGAAAGAAATTTTCATGAGCAATTCTTTAGAGGAGAGACTCAAGTAAGTCTCATCGATTTAATGAACATAAAAAGATACAATCATGAAAGCATAGATGATTATTTGAATCGATTTAGACAAATGAAGTCGAGATGCTTTACTCAAATTCCTGAATATGAATTAGTCAGAATGACCTCTGCAGGCTTAGAATTCTCGATTAGGAAAAAATTAGTCAATTTACCATTGAATGACATGACTCAATTAGCTGATAAAGTGAGAAGAGTGGAACAAATTGAGTATGAAAAACAAAGATATAAGAAATTTGAGAAACCTATGAAGAAAGAAAGAATAGCATCTATAAATGATGTATATGAAACAGATCCCACGACAGAAAATGATGTGGAAGAAACTATCGATGAAAAAGTAAATATAGCAGAGCTCAAAGTGGGAGCTCCATATATCTGTAAATTACTGCAGAAAAATGAGGTAAAAGATAAAATGGCAAATCGAACATATACTTTCGATGTGACAAAGGCAGACAAAATCTTTGACATTTTATTAAAAGACAAACAAATTAAGTTGAGTGATGATCATAAACTGCCCTCTGCAGAACAAAGGAACGGTCGAAAATATTGCAAATTTCATAATGTTTATGGACATTGGACTAACAATTGTATACATTTCAGGAATACGATCCAAGATGCGATCGACCAAGGAAGACTGAAATTTGAAGAGATGTCAATGAAGGTAGACACGAGTCCATTCGAAGTTCAAGTGGGGTATATTGAATCCCAAACGGGCATGACTGAAGATGTCCGAGTGACGAATTCTGCTTTTATAGGCATGGTCGATGTTACTGAAGACATTGATCCCAAGCATGTCAGAATGAATGTATGTGAAGAATATATGGAATTCAATTTGAGTGAATTCGAAAAAGAATTCGAGAGGGAGATTTATCCTCGATCAAGAGATTCTCTCATCGATTTTTTAAACAGAAAGAAAGGAAAAGATGAAGATGTGTCGTTATGTCCGTGATGCAGTGCAGTCTTCGATAAGTCAGCTGCTAAAGCTTTCAGAGTGGAACAGATAAAGAAAATCGAAAGTCAAAATAAAAGAGGTAATGACAAAATGGACCAAACAGCCCAACCAATGATAGGGGAAAGTCAACAGAAATCCGTTGGTTCTGGTGTTAGTGGAAACCAAAGACAGTGGGTTAAAAGAGAGATGTATTCTTCTCGAGGAAGAGGCAAACTCCAGAGTAATGATGTCTTCGAGAGACTGTCGTACGATGAAGGATCGAATACTAGATTCCCAACATTCCAAAGGCGATTCCGTGGAAGGCCCTGGAGAAGAGGAGGAAGGATCCCTTACTGGAATAATTACAGAAACTTTGAAGAGAACAATGTATCAATGGGGGGTCAATATGCAAGAGATTATTTCGACGATAAGAATGAGGGCAGCTGGGATGAACATCAAATCGGAGTGATATCGATACTACCCGCGGAATATGTTAATGAATATCAAGAATACCAAGAGCAGAGTGATGCTGATCGAGAAGATGACTTTTATTCAGAAAACATAAGGTCAAAGGTAACATGGGTTACACAAACATCATGTGAAGTACCTCATAGAGATGCTGCTTTTATTGATCCTCCATCTGAGGAAATGAGGTTCCACCTGAAGCCCCTACTGCTGAATATCGAGATTCAAGGACAAATGGTGAATAGAGTCCTTGTCGATGGTGGTGCAGCAGTGAACATATTGCCAATCACCATGTTGAAGAGGTTTGGTATTGAACTGAAAGATTTAGTCAGGCACAATATCATGATTTCCGATTTCAGCGGAAAAACATCGAGCTCAGAAGGCATGATTGCTTTAGACGTGAAAGTGGGCACTTATTCGAGGCCTACTGTGTTTGTTGTTGTCCAGTCACATGCCAATTTCAATGCACTACTTGGCAGGGAGTGGATTCATGGAGTAGGGGCCGTACCATCTACGGCTCATCAGAAATTATTCATGTGGAATCGAGATGGACATCTCGAAGTAATCCCAGGGGATCAGCACGAATTTGTAACATTCATGTCTCAGGCTGGACGGGCACTGCAGAATCTGGCACTCCTCAACCATTCACCTTCGAAACTGTCGAAGATTTTAATTCAAAGTTACATGAGGAGCGATTCTTAGAGATGAATGAGAAGAAAGGATTTGTTATGATCAAAGAGGGGGCC